TTAAATCAAAAATTGCTGGCGATTTGGTGACATACCAATGATTCTGACTGGTCTTCCGTTTGACTTCAAACGATTGCAATTTCCATTTCGCCTTGCGTTTGCAATGACAATTAATAAGTCACAAGGCCAATCGCTTAGTGTTGCGAGATAATTTCAAATAGATCATTATAAAATCATTGTTTTTCACTGTTGTATAATATAATCAAATTTTTCCTTTTCAAATATAAAACAAAAAATTCTTCATCTTTCTCACGAAACCATCTGGTGGCGAAACGGAGTTCGTCGTATTTGCTAGTATATATATAAATATATAAACATATACATATGTGATTAATTTCTTGGAGGGCGTAACATCAAGTAAAAAATAAATAAAGTAAAGATCTTATAAAATCCGTCACAAAAATAGACTCACTATTTTAAAAAACAAATAATTAACCCCAACCTGAGCTGAACTTCCACAAAAGATACAATTTGTCTGCCTTACATTAAGGAACTTTATCCTTTGTGGTAAAAACTTTTTAATAACGCAAATCTTCGTTTAATATGCAACATCGATTTGATGCTTAATTCCTTTTTCTCAAATTTGAAGCCGCGAACTAAATTGGAACGAGCAATGGCTGTGATTCTACCTACATTGACGAAACAGAACAGAACCTTATTAAACGTTTAAAACAACACGACAATAACTCAAAAAACAAAAATCAAGGTCAAACGATGATACCAGAACATTTAAAACTAAATAACCATACGTTCAATTTTTATGACGTAAGGGTTCTTTATCATAGGTCAAAAGTCTCACGAAGACGCTTTGCGAAATCGTCTTTTATTTTCTTATTGTTAGAGGAACTGATGCTCTAGCTTTCCTTGCAAAAAAAACTATTAACTTAAATTTAATCCATAAAAATATTTTATTGCTTTAATAAAGTAATCACTGACATTGAATGCTTGTTTTCAATTATTAATTATTCACAAGTTATGTGTTCATAATATGTATCAGTGTTAATCTAAGAATTAACGCTTACAGAAGTAATGCTTTCTGTAATTTTCTAATTTAAGATTTAGATATATATAGTCTGTCCTTTTAGTTTCTTTCTCTTTCTTTCTTTTTATTCTTGCTCTGATTATATTTAGTTTTAAACGTTACTTTTTCTAGAACTACTGATGATGACGTAGAATCTTTCGCCGAAACGTATGGAAAAATAAAGATGTTTTAAAACTCTTTACTTTATTTATTTCTTACTTGATGTTACGCCCTCCACGAAATTAATCATACAATTCAACATCAAATTTAAACATCTCCATCATATATATATATATATATATATATATATATATATTAAAATTGAAAAATTTATTTGATAGCCCTTTATTTATCGATATGCAAAGACTACATTTTAATGAATAACTGAACAATTAGCCTGACTAAGTCTGACTACAAGTCTGACCAAGCCTGACTCTCTGACTCCAAGATTGACTCCAAGTTTGACTGCTGATCTAAATCTTTACTACTTCTTATATACTAAATATTTGTACACAAAACATGATTCTGAAATCTAACAGCAAGGACGGAAGAACTTCGGAAAACCTTCAAATAGCACGTAGTGCTTTGACAAAATTAATAATGATAAATTATATTTATGATCACAGAATAGAATATTTAAACAAATTAGCAACCCTAAAAATTATTGCTCATTCTCAAAGATTGATAAAGAAGCAAAATAAGATATATAAAATTTGAAGTTATTAGGCCGAAATTTTATGATAGTGCAGTAGTATATTATCTTTCTAAAATGATGTGCCTGCACAGTTCTATTTATTACTTTGGCCTGCGGGACAGTAGCTAAGACGATATTATGCAGGACGGATATCATGACCAATCAGGATAAAAAAATGTTTTTGTCAAAGAAATACATTTGATTACTTTTATGTAAACACAAAGAATAAAACTTTGAATATAAAATAATCATAAAAGAACAAATATTCTCTTTGTAATTAAAGAAATCGCACAGATCACTATCGATACGCATGACAAGAATACATTGAAGTTATGTTGAAAATTATCTTTGCAATATAAAAAATAGATAACTAAAACCACTACAAGTTATTACGTATTCACAAATAATTTACGATATATACTTAATATAAAAAATTCTAGTGAAGTACATATGGCAATATTAAAATAATATGAAAACATCAATATTGTATAACTGAATAACTGTTAATAAGGAAAAATCATTTGAGCACAGAAATCTACAACTTACTAATTAATCCAAACATAAAGTTATGCTTCTTTACTGTTAAACTTCGGCTAATTATTTCGACTTTATTTTTTATATAAAATATTTATTCCACTTTATCTCTAGAAGCAACTCGTTGATTAAAGTTGAGTTGAGTTTATTTTAAACTTACTGGTTTTAAAAGTTCCGAACAGGAGCTTCAAAGGAAAAATTTATAAAAGCACGCACATAAATACAATTAAAAAATCTAAAGTATATAATAAAATTATAATGTTTAGAACAATTACGAACATCGACTACCATATCATCTCGTTCATTTCGTATCTGGTTCATTTTTAAGTTATAATAAGCCTATCAATGGAACAAATTTGCATTTGTTATTTGAATTAGGTTTTGTGAATGGTTCATTATGCAAAATATTCAGTACCGGCTTCAAATATTCAAATACCGACGTTGTACATACTAAATATTCGAAATATATAATGAAATAAATTATATTGGGTAATCATAAACAAGATCAGACAACTTCACAACGTTGCAGTTTTCAAAATATTAAAAAAAAGCATTATATTTTTCTGATAAAAAAAAAATCTTTTAACTTATTTTTGACTAGCAATAAGTAAAACTAACAAAATAATAAAAATAGTATGAGTAAAACAAGCGATACAACAACATGTGTATTGCAGGCTGGATGACTCATCTAATTCAATTAAGGTGAATTGTGTTGTTTTGACTTAATTATGACACAGGAATTAATATATATATATATATATATATATATATATATATATGTGTGTGTGTGTGTGTGTGTGTGTGTGTGTGTGTGTGCGTGTGTGTATGTGCAACATAATGCACCATGTATATTATAATACATTGTATACAATGTAAATATTTCGCATACCGCCAAGAAATGCATTTGATTAAAATTCTCGATACATAGTTATTTTGAAACTATAATAGGCACGAACAATACAGTCAATTAATGAAATATATTTCATAATCAATTTCCATAATAGCATAATCCTATAACAAATAATACAATTTACCGATAATATCGCATTATAAAATACGATTTCCATTAGAATTGATAAAATCTGCGAACGACATAAACTTATGAGATATATATTCTTCATATTTAATATGACAAACACAGGGATTATAGAGAAACTGCGCCACTGAAAATAATAAATTGCATATTGTGCAACCTCACATATAAATATATGCTGAATATAATCATGATATAACAAAAATTTATGTAATATTAAAGTAGGGTTGGTATATATGCACTTGTCTATGATGAGAGATAAATGAACATAAAAAATCCATAATCTGTGCAAGTCTGAGTTTTTTGTGAGATTTTTTATTACATCGCAGTGCTAAACCAGGTCGTTTTTAATTGCAACAATATTACGGCTAGAAATTTGCTTCTAAATGTTTGCTCATATTCAACAGTGTAAAATAAATAATATAGACAATTTTAAACTTCCCGTAGGGCAAGTTATAGTAATTGCAAAAAAATCGAAAATGAAAATTTTTATATATCTTAATGTTTGAAAGGTTTCTGAATATTTTGGCATACCTTATAAAAATGGATGTATGTGTGCGTGTGTGTGTGCGGATACAAGTTTTCGTCGACGATTTCGGAAACACCGATCAACCGATTTGAATAATTCAAGAAACATTCGATTTCGTATTGATGAGGAAACGTGCTGATTAGTTTTTGGCGAAGGCAGGTCTAGCCGTTCCGAAGATACGGGACAAAAAGTGTCAAAAACGGTAACTTCAGTTTCTAAGAGAACGGAGCGTCCGATTTTATTAATTCAAAAAACATTTTACTTGTATTGACAAGATAAAGAACTGATTAAATTTTTGCGAAGGCAGGTCCAGCGGTTATGGACTCTCAATAAAAATAAGTTAAAAAAATGTCGTTTGGCACCCCACTAGTTTTTATTTTATATATAGTTAGTTAAGTAATACATAAATTTTGATGCCAAATTTTTAGCATTCACTACTTAATTTATTACTGTGCATCTTATAGTCCACTTTTAATTTTCTTGTAATTTATTCTACATAGTTTTTATGTGATGACTTTATGTAGAACAGAAAAAAGCTAGAACATTATTTTCCACAGTCGGGAATGAGGGCAAAAAAGTTGCAAGCGATAGTAGACTAAAACTTAGTTTTTGCATATTATTAGGATGTTAGCAAAGAATGTTATATGAAACTTCTAGTTTCTGACTTGAAGTCGAACTTGGGTATCATTCGGAAAGAGTGCCAAATTCCGATAAATCTTAAAAAAATATAAAACTATCAATTTTGCCTTATGCTAAAAATTCAAGATTTCCATACCTCCAAGGCGATAAAATTTGGAAAGTGAGTTAAAAATTTCATTACAATATGTAATGAAATGTTAAAACATAATATAATTAATCAACTCTACATAATAACATTTTTCTATTTCAAATAAAATCTTTATTATATATCAAATTAAAACTTTGTATGTTATAAGTTTGGATTAAAGTATCAAAATAGTAGTAGTTTAATTTATTTCCATAATGATTAAGAAAGTTACGGCATTTTTGTCAGTGCCCTCGAGAGGCATAAATTTAAATCCGGCTCTGTGTGTAGCATGCTTGAAGGTAAATGATAAATTATTTTTAAAATTTATAGATGTTTTTTAAATTTTGAACGTCACTAAATATTATAATTAACTTTAAGTAATATCAGACAAATAATAGAACGCATTTTAAGTATGGTCTTCTTTTTTGAATAAAAATCGATTAACCGTTTTGTTTTTGCAAATCAGGGAGCTTTTATAATTAATTTGAAAGAAATTTTGCTTACATCATGCTCATTTATTTTACTACATAATACTATACTATCACCTATATAGGCATATCATATTTTTGTAATATTTTGTACGGCATTGCCAGTTTCTATTTGCTATTTGATAAGATTTTACATTTTTCATTGAAACTGGGAACGGATATGTTGTGTGTGTGTGTGTGAATAGGAAAATGGATGTCGAAAAATTTAAAAACAATTTAGCAACTATTGGACCTGCCTTTTCAAAAACTCATCAATTCCTAAAAAGCTTATTCAAATTAAAAGTTAATTGTATTATCAAGAGAATTCATATATTGCTGAAATAAATTTTTACTCTGTAATTTATTATTGGTATAATATTCTATATTATTATATTTATTGCTTTTGATTTTCCAATTTCGAACTGTTTTACATTGAACTTTTCCTAAAATAATAACTGTTGTCAAATATAATACTTCATTATTAATTAAATAAATTATTAATTAAATAAATTGAATAAAATGTGATTGTCAAATAATACACACATACACAATAGTCATATTAAAATTTTTATTTATACGCGAATTTTTTCAATAGTATGATTATCAAGCATTTTACCATTTTAAAATTCTAAAGCGCCAACTTTTGATGAAACTTGCCATCACACTTTAGTACTTTTTTTTTTATAAAAGAGGACCTTTCAAAGTCGACCGGTTTTAAAAATTTTAAATTAATACTTCGACAGAAGGTCTTAATACTTGAAAATTTTGCTTAATTGTGTAATTATTTTTTACTGAGGTTTTACAAATACAATTCACAGTTATGGTTCCAAAGTTTAAATGAACAAAAATAATGAAAATGAACCATAATATCTCTAAGATGGTCATAATTTTACCAAAGCTCTGAGTTGTAGTTAAAAGCTCGTAATATTCAAAAAACGTGAGATAGTTTTATTTCTATTTTTTTTAGAACAGTTAAGGCCAGTATTTTCACCTTGTTTTAGCTTAACATCAAGTTCTAAAACACCGCCAGTATATATTTACATATATTTATATTTAAAATTATTTTAAAAAACAGCTATCACAGATTAATTATAACTAGTTAATTCCAGTTCACTTAACCTTTTCTTAGTCATGCACATGTTTCTTACACATTGCACAAAACACGTGAAGTGAATAAGAAAGTGTAATATAATTCATAGGCTTGAGCATAATGTACTGTATTAGTAAATTGAATATTCCATGAATATATTACCAAGGTTAATTAGCAGATCTGCTGATGAGTTAATTATTCTGTTTGTACGAATGCCATTAATTGCCACGTCCTACCCTCCGGCGTCGTAGCATTAAATACATAAGTTCATATATAGCAAGGACTGACCTATATATGTGCATATGTATTTGTACAGATATATATATATATATATATATATATGTGTGTGTGTGTGTGTGTGATATCTAAGTATATATCATACAACGATTGGAGACGCCGATGAAGCGTCTGCGAAATGACTGATTCCAATGTAATTACGAATTGCACTTGGCAATAAGTTGATATCAATGAGATAGTAAATGAGATGTGTACGTGAGTATTATAATAAATTCTGGTCAATTTTACTTAGATCTTTTAATGTATTAAATATAGAGAAAAATACAAATACAAAAAAAGGAAGTTCTTACAATGCTATTAAAATAACTAGAAAGAGATTAAAATTAGTGTAGGTTAAATTACAAAATTGTTAAAAACTCTTGTAAAATTTTTTATCATTTTTTTTTTTAATATTTCATGATTATTTCATTTCATTCTTCTAAGTAGACACAGCTTTTTTAATATAATTTTTTCTTTCAAAACATCAACTGATTATTGCACATATTTATTTTTGTAATAAATTCATTACCCATGCAAAGAAATTAACAACGTTTAGTGCTAACATACATTAGTGAATAAATTTCTAAGTAGATGTATGTTTTTTATCCATATTATAGGACAAATGTATACTATGTAAGTGTAATACTATGTAAATTAACACAAATTTCAAAGTTGGAATGGTTTTATATTATAAACTTTGTATTATAAATAAGAAAACGAGCATATTGTGCAAAAAAATATTTTCTCACAAGTCAAACATACAATGATACATGATTTTTTTTTATTAGGCATACTTAGATAATTTTCTCTTGTGCTCAAAATATAAACCCAAAACTTTCTGCATATCAAAATATTTTTATCCGGAGTAAAATATGCGTGAGTTGGGTTTAAAAAATTAGGTTGATACATTTTGATGCTTTTAGGTATATATGAGTATTTGTTATTTTGTAAAACTTTATAATGTAAAAGGTATGCCTATACTAACGGCACTAGATTTGAAATTTGTTCATAATATTTAAATTTTCATTATTTATTAGTGTTGTTTCAAAAGGTATCAGTGTGGAGTGAAAATACCATTTTTATTTAGAACATTTTCATTGTGCCTCTTAGTTATCATTTTTTTCTTGAGCAATTTTTTTTTTCACCATAGGGTAGGGCGCAAAGGTTCAATTTGACTTTGGACGATTCTATTGTCAAAACCAAAACAATATAATATATCACAACAAATAACACACATCAAACCGACACCTATCTGACAATGTTCAGTAAAACAACTAGTAAATTCTTATTCGTTATTTTAGAAATGTGTTATTTTTGCAGTTTATTACCTGGTTCTTTTTGCCTCATTGAAGGGCAAACAGATCCAATGTCTTATTTTCAATTTTGAATGGTCGATACGTAATAATAGATGTTTATATTAATCAATGCAAAAAATAAATTTAATAAGTACATTTTTTAGGGTGCAAGATAGCCTTGATCGGGTATTTTATCTGAAATGATCATCTGTAAAGTTGAACACAAAGTATTTAACTTATCTCTTGTAAAATTGCATTTTTTTAATTAATTTACTTTTTGTTTACTATTTTTTATTGCTCATTTAACAAATGTGTCAGTTTGAAGGTTTATGTGTTTTTTACCCCACCCACGTGTAAGATTTTATAGAGATTATATAAAAAAAACTATTGAAATTACCTTGAAAATGACAGTACATGTTATAAAACTGGTAAACAACAGTGCTCACAACCCAAAAAAAAAAACTAACAACGAAGGAAACTAATTTTGTTATGGATTTTTAAACGTTGCCGTTTATCTCTTGATACGACGATATAAGTATCAAGGTGATGGTAGGTTATACCTTTTTGTAAATTTTTTTTAACTTTACTATTGACATATCTGTAAGGGACCTTTTTACGCGAACCTGTACGCTATGAAATATCTTTGTTTACAATATTAATTAGATATTTCACACAAATCACAAATATTTTCTATTAAATTTCAGAGCACGCTCGCGATTTTGGACAAACTCGAATTAGACTCTGAACAACCGACGGAGCAGGCCGTTGCGCGCCTCTTTGGTTTCGAAGACGCGTTGCTGGGTGGCCGACTGACGACATGGCAGCGACTCAAGCCGCGCGTTTGGGCACTTTTCGACGAACCGAAAAGCTCCACGGGCGCCAAGGTAAGGCAACAATATATTCTAATAAGTAATTGATATTGAAAGTATTGATACGATTGATCTAACTTTATAAAATCGCCGTTATGAATCTTATAAACTTTTGCAGCCTTATTATTAATCATTATTTATACTTGTTAACTTCCCGTAGAGTTAGTAATAGTAATTGCAAAAAATTCGAAAATGAAAATTTTTATATATCTTTACGTTTCAGAGGTTTCTGAATATTTTGGCATACCTTAGAAAAAATGGATGTATGTGTGTGTGTATGTATGTGTGTGTATATGTGTGCGCGTGTGTGTATGTGCGGATACAAGAGCAATTGCTTTGAAATTTTTTTTAAAATTTCCAAAATTTTCAAAATAAAAGAAAACATTTTTTTCTAAAAGTTTTTTCCAAAAAATTCAATTTTATTCAAAAATTTAAAATTTTTTAAAAATCAAATATTTTCAAAGAAATAAAAAATGTAATCTTTTTTTAAAAAAAAACTTTGTGCGTAAAGTTTCAGCAATTTGCCTTAAGGCACGATGCCATACACCGCTATATATAATAATAATAATGAGTAGTGCTGCCCTAGGGCAGGTCCGTGAGCTGAGTTAAACTCCAACTCGATTCAGGGAAGAAGTAGTGTGAGAGTTTTTCCCATTTCCATTTCACACCGCAGTGCCCGAGATGGGCTTATTTTCAATTGGAAACACATTTTGATTTATATATTTACCGCTATATATTTTTTTTTAAATATCTTTAGTTACTATGAGGAGAAGCTACTGGCAGCAGTAATATCTAGACAAGGTATGAGTAGATTCGCCAGTTTAGATAAAAATTCACATCGTTGATAGGGAATACGGTCAAAATTGTATATATTTACGAAAAAAGCTATAATCACAATCCTATTAGATGTTGAGCATTATTGTCACTGTCATGTCGGATTAAACAGTTCAAACGTGTATCACACATTCAAAAGATTATTTTGTGGCGTTTTTCTCATATTTTTTGGGACCTTATTCATTGTTATTTGTAATTATTTTTAATAAAATTAATTGGCTCATGCCAGTACCAGTGATTTCAATCAATTTTATTGCCAAAAATCAGGCGTCCTATGAAGTTTATTTATTTTTGTTCACTTTCTGACAAAATTGCATACTAATACGAGTATAATAGACAAAATGAGTTAGTACTATTTCACAGGCGGTACAGTGTAGTTTATTCGAGGCCACGCAGAAAGAACATCGAAACCTGATGAAGATGATTGGCTTTTAACTTCTACTCTATCTATTTCTAAAAACAGGCTAAGAGATCTACCGGTACAAAGTAGAGACTTTCATTTATTGCAAAGACTTCTTTTCCCTATTCATGATGTATGACTTGTTCCCTTGGAGCTTTTGTTTCATGTGCTAATGTCCGAAAGAAGACGGTTATTGTAATTAGTTGCGTTTTTCCATGTTATTAGAGTTCCCATTTGTTTAAAAGACTGTTACTTGTATCCAATGAAACAAAAATTATTAAAAAAAAAAAACAGAACACTATGCCATGTGGTCCATACCGTCCATGTTGACCGTCCACCTAGTTGAATAATTAAGGCAATGCATTACTGATTTTAACAGAAGTACACAGTAGAGATATAAAGTATAGTTGTAATATAAATGCTCTTTTCTAATTATAAGCATGAACGAAGTATTTACTCATCTATAATTTTTTATAACAAAATTAGTTTTTATTATTCATTAGCTTTTATAATTGGTATTCTACAATCTGCTATGATGATTTTTTATACTGATAGCTACCAGAAGACAAAGTTTCTACATAAGTAAAATTTATAAACAAAAATATTGAATATATCATAATTGCCAAACACAAACTGCAGTCAACAATTGCATTATTTTGGGATTTATTAGGGAAAACTATTTTAAATTATTTTAAAATTAATTGATATAGTATAAGCGCACTTCATTAATTAAACGAATTGTACATAAATTGTTATGTGTATAAATTCGCTTCTATAACACAATATTTCTTGAAAATAAAAAATTCTAAAAAACTTAAATATGACAGACAAATCTTTAAATTAAATACGATATCCCTAATGATCCCGTTTTCGATAGATTGTTAAGGTAGTATTACATAAATATTATCGAGAGTTGGCTGTAAACCCTTTTTATATGTTAAGATTTGTCTATCATTATTAATAAAAATGTGTTAAAAATTAAAAATTGTGCTAAACAATTGTGCATTAAAAATACAAAATAGAATTTCGATTAGATTAACTCATAGTGATGAATCTTGATGCAAAGTTCGTCCATGGACGACATTCATAAACTCTGGTAGTCGAGTGGATGTCCTCCATGAACGACACAGAAGAGAATATGATCTGAAAATTCTAAATGCAGTCTCATTTTTTATCTCTGATGGGTTTTCTGTAACAAATTAATCGACGTATATTAATGTCAAATCAATGGATTTATTTTATTTTTAACTTCCCGAAGGAGAAGTTTATGTTTTCATAAAAAAATCCGATTCGCTAATTTTATGTTTTCTCGACGTTTCAAGCCATTCTGAATCGAATGAGACCAAATTTGGAAAAAGTATGTGTGTGTGTGTGTGTGTGTGTGTGTGTGTGTGTGAACAGATTTTTTGCCGTAAATCGACGTTTTCTCAAAAATGACTGGACCGATTTTAAAAATTTAAAAGCCATTCGATGTATCTCGATGAGGACTAGCGTTTATCAATTTTGCGCGACGATCAGCAAAGCCGTTTCTTTGTAAATAGCAGAAAAGTGAAAAATTTTTCGTCCACGTTTTAGCCCGCAGTTGTGAATCGATCTTGAAAATTCAAAAACCGTTCGAAAGATATTGATTGGGAATCGTGCTGATGAGTTGTTGGTAGAGATCGGCCGGGCCGTTTTCTTGTAATAAAGTGTTAAAAAATTTTTTTTCGACGATTTTGATGATTATTTTTCTGACGGTAGATACCATAGTCTTCTAGATCATACTAAAATATTACGGCCCTACGACAATTGGTTTAGCTTTAAAAATTCGTCAAAGTTAGTATCGTTCTTTTGGCATTTGTCAAAATTAGACGTTTCATCGACGATTGCTCAAAAACGCCTGAACCGATTTCAGAAATTTAAAAACCATTTGATGTGTCTCAATGAGGACTATCGCTCGTCACTTTTGTGCAACGATCGGCCGAGCCGTTTCTTTGAAATTTGGAAAAAAGTGTTAAACTTTTCGTCCACATTTAAGCTCATTCTACCGAATCGATTTTCAAAAATCAAAAACTGTTCGAAAGATATTAGTTGGGAATGGTACTGATTAGTTTTAGGTGAAAATCTACCGAGCCGTTTTCTTGTAATTAACTGTTGAAAAAAAAAGTTAAGACGATGTTTATGGAACTTTTTTTAGCGATATATACCATGGTCTTATAGAACTTACTGAATTATTACGGCCTTACGATAAGTATTTTAAAAATTCATCAAAGTTTGTGATGAGTAGTTTTTTGACGTTTGTTAAAATTAAACTTAGACGATTCACTTGGTATAACGATAGAGTACTTGGTCTTAATAAACGTAATAAATCATTAAAGTCCTACGGAAGCTGGTTCAATTAAAAAAATATTGATTTTTGAAAATTTGCTTTTAGAAAATACTCCAATTAACGTGTTTGTTGGTTTTCAATTATGTGTAATAAATCCACTCGAAATACTTTTAATCACTCATAAATTAATTTATTTTTTATTGATTGAGTCGATTATTTACATATATCGGGAAGTTCATGTAACTTGCCTCAAGGCTAAATACCAAACCAACTAGTTTTTAATATCATCGAGTCCGATGAAACACAAGTTCTAAACAAGCAATATCGAGGGTCATGTTACATTCATAAAGCGTATTAACCGCGTTATGTTCAAACTTCAAACAACGTTCTCGACTGCGCAAATATTCAGACACGCTGGAGAGGATGAAATTGTAAATGTGTATTTAGGTAAATATATTTATCATATAGAAATAGAGAATTTGAACACTGAACACAGCTCTAAACACATTACGCAATATGGTAAAATTGATAAATTACATAAAACGCGTGTTCTCCTATTTACACTTTCATTATTCACACTTACTTATTATTAAATTGCAAATATTGTAGTATGTATGCGTCGGTGGCAAATTGGTAAAATATTATCACAATTTCAATATGGATAAATGGAAAACGATGAAGTTATCTTCTAATATTTCTATCTGAAGATTATTAATTATAGATTAGTAGAACAATTGAGTTACCTACTTATAGCCATTTGTATAATAATCGTAATAAAAAATAATCACAATAAAAGCAAAAATTATTACAACAGATTATTTAATGTGTTGTATATACATAAAGCAAAAATTCTAATTAACAAATAGTAGTCTAGAGTATACAACTATACTAGAGACTGGTAGCATTTCATGGAGTAATGTGCGTAAGGTTGATAAATAACGCTTAAATAAAATATATATATATATATATATATATATATATATATATATATAATTTATGGGTAATACTGTCCCAGGGCAGGTCCGTGAGCAGAGTTAAACTCCAACTCCATTCAGGAAACAATAGTGTGAGAAATTTCCCATTGTCATATATATATATATGATATGAAATATATAATAGCCATCCATTTATACCCCAAACCACATCACAATAAATTTACACTCTACATTTTCAGTCAGAAATAAAATAATTTTCACATTTACCGATAAGAACTTTGCCAACTCGCTAACACTGTCAAATTTGTCAAAAATTCTGCACGTTTAAAAATCATTCATACCACAAATGTCTAGTCCGAGACATATAGTACATTATAAAAATGATATTGCCATATTTTATTACATTTCTGACACTTTCAGAAAATGTTGTGGGTACCACGTGCTATATTGTAGCAATAAATCTCATAAGATTTATAGTGTTATTTAAAAAAACATATACACTATAATTTATAACGTTGAATGTATTCAATTCAACAAA